GGCCTCTCGAAAGTTAACTTCGGCAAACGTACAATTACCGTGAATTTCACCTCGGTAGATTAACCGACCTACATCGCTAGTTTGAAGCGCGCCTCCGAAAATCGAGTTCCGCCGTCCGCCCGTGGCGGGACGCGGAGCGAGGACGCGTGTCGTCCGCCGAACGAGCCGCGTCCGATCGTTACCGTGTCCGCTCTACAAGGTGGATCCAGAACCTCCCGGCACGAGAGTAGAGATCCAGCAATGAAGATAGGCATAAAGCGATCGAAAATAAAAGAGGAAACCTCGTTCGGCAGACCCGGTGCCGGGGCTCGCTTCGACGGCCCAAAGGTGGAGGTCGTTTGTCGCTCTGCCGGAATCCTATCGGAGACATCTCGCTTTCGATAACATATTTTATTCCGACGAACGAGTCCTCTCGGCTACTCTCGGGACAGCGATGTCCTCTCTGAAGAGTCGCAAACGGCCCACGGGATTTAAAGGGAGCCGAGACCCCCGTGTACTGCTAATTTGCTTATCACCAGATAACCGTGACAGGTGTATAGAAATTCAGGATCAGGAGTAAGGTGGAAGAAGCTCCCCGGTCACTTGAATCGCGGTTTTATCTGCGGAATGGAGGTCCTCGTGCCACTTTACAGGAGGAATTGTATTTCCATCTCTGTTTTCAGGTGTACTTGTCGATTTACTCCGATGGGTTGCTCACTCGGGAAATCCTGGATTTTAAGGGCGCTCACCACTCCAGCGATTTTGCAGGGTCTCACGGGGACAACGATTCCGAACGTATTTCTAAACCGATCGAGCTTAACGAGTGCTCATATCGAAGATGAAATGTTGACCTGTGTTTATATGGGAGCGATTTTCGATAAGTGGTCATTTTCATATAAAAAAGTGCAACGACATAATTTCAATGCCCTTTTACCTAGGAAGGAGGTTCTCGATCGAAAATCGCTCCCATATAAACACACGTCAACGTTTTATCTTTACAACGAGAATTAAAGGGAAATCCATTCTTGAAAATGGACATCGTTTTCCCTGATTTATCTCTTGGTTATCTTGGAAAGACGAGTCGGACTCGGAATCGCTAATCGAAGGCGATTCGATAAATAGGTGGAGAAGGAGGCGAGGTGGAGTCGATCCGACGGAGGAGACGCGCGGTTTCTCCGCCGGGTGAGACGGCGACGTCGTTTGTCGTGGCTCGCATCGGATATCCGAAGGTTCGGGGCGTATTTTTTATTCCTCTCTCGCCTACTTTGACGGCTCAACCGCTGCGAAACTCGGGACTCGCGATTCCAGGATACACCGCGTCCTTTTTCCCGATCGATTCGGCCCGGTCGAGAGTCGACACCCGGTGATCGTTAACGTCCCACCGGGTCGACTCTTTACGAGCATGCCGCTGCGTTTCGTCCGGCGCCAAGTTATGCGGTCCGCCGCGGGTTCCTTTGGGAATTTATGCCGTCACGCTTTCGGCCAACGCCCGCGGCTTACGGAATTACCGACCCAGTCCTGGAAGGAGTCGCTTAATTGCGTGAATTATGCAAATTCAGCCGGCAAGCCGCTACGAGCCGACTAGGAAGCTGCTCAAAGTCGCGATTAATAAGCGATTAAAGCCGATCCCGAGGTCGGACCTAATCGGAATGGGTATTTTCTCGACCCACGAAGAAGAAGAGAAACGTTACCCGCAAACGTTTTCCCACTTTCTGTCTTAAAAAGTGCAACGAGCTCCTACGAGGTACCGAAGTTAACTCCTTCAGCGCTATGGACCCATAAGTGCGTCCGACGTTCGGTCCAATATCGCTTGCACGCCCTGCCGAATTTCGCCCCTACGTCAAAAGGGCTCAGCGGTGAAAGCGTTAAGGCGACACGTAAGTGGCACCTAATAATCGTTTCAAACTTCACAAAGTGAATATCCGGCACAGAGGAAAGGTCCTAACACCCATGAAATGTCATTTCTTTTTTTCCCCAGGAACGTTGGGAAAGTTCAGAAAGAAAATCTTTGAAATACTGAATGGACCTTTCTTATAGCCTCCGTGTACATGCAGTGGAGTGTCAAACGATTCGGTGCACCCAGTTCGCAGAAAAGTTCCGCGAACGAGACCTCTTTGACGGCACTTTGGTATCGCCTTAATTACGCGAATTACGTAAATGGCTTCGTAGGAACCCGTCCAGGTTGCCGAGGCTCTGCTCTACGTGCATCTACGCAAAGGCGCGCGGTTAATAATAGACCGGGAAAGCGAAGGTCTATACGAGCTGCGGCAATGCACTATGCGCTAATGCAAAATGATTATTGAAATAGCGTGACCTAACGACCTGGACCATCCTCGCCGCGGCAACGAGCACTCAACGTAACAGGACCTGACGCACCGCGTAATGACGTGCGGCGTAACAACGTTGATCGCAAGCGGAATCGATCCGACACCCACGTTAAGCGGGAACGCGAAGACCGAGGGAGGCGGACGTCTTCCGTCAATGGTTATTCGATAATACGTATTACCTTGGAAATGAATTCCCACGGATGTAATTTCCTCGTGCCACGGAACCTCCCCCGAGGAGGCCTCCTCGCGGAAAGTGCAGCGGGGAACGATGATCCCCGACTAAGCGAAACGCTGAACGCACATTCGGGATGCGGTTACCTTACGAATGAAATTTCCCGAGAAAGAGCGAGCAACTCCATTCCGACTTTAAGGCGAAGTTAAAGACGTCGGTGGAAAAGATTTTTCTAATTTTTCCACCTACATTTCCATATCCTACGTGGACATATTCACATAGTAAAGTCTGAAACGATTTATGAACGCTCTCGCATCTCCTTTAGGTGATATGAAAGTAAAGTGAATATGAAAAAGTGAAAATATTTATGAAACTTCAACACGCGATCATGGAGGCCCCGATGAAATTACACTTTTCGGCCAAAGAAAATATTAATCTCGGAGTAGAACCAAGAAAAGAAATTTTTTCAATGAAATATGTAATTTCATTGGGGCGTTTATAATCACGTGTTGAAGTTTCAGATAATTCGGGGCATCCAGTTTGGAAAGAAGCTTACTAAATATTTTCAAGTTTTCATATATATGTATAGAAGGATTTTTTAGTGTTAATTTAAGGTTCTCCAAGTGGAATACCGAAGATGTCTCTAAGCTCGACGGACATGGCGCGGACTTTCCGCGCAGCCTCGGTGTTTGCGCCCACCTTAATTTTTTTTCCCCTCGCTGGTTCGGCTAAAAACATGCATTAGGTTTCTTCGGGGGCCGGAATGGCAAGGCTAAAAAGTGAAATTACCCGTTCTCGGCCCTCTCCTGCCGCGATTCGCCAGATCCATAACACCGGGAGCGCCTTGGGCGCCTCCCAAGGGGACCGCGACAAGAACCGCGCCGAGGAAATAGATACACCCGGCTCATCTTTCACGGCCGAACGATTCCGCCAGAAGAAGTCCTCCACCCGGGACGAAATCTGCATCCGAGCGAGTGGGGAACTAGTTTTACGAGCCCCATCGATCGGCATCCGCCGGTAATGGCGGTGGCCGATAATTCCCGAGATATTGGATCGCCGGTCCGAGGACGAGGTCGCGGCCCTTTTTCTCGAGCTCCTTCTACGCGGATTAATTTCCCCCGGCGGAATTTATCGAGGAAGCCCCTCCGCTCCTTTGTCTTTCCGCTTCCGGAAAGCGACCGGAAGATAGCCGACTTTCCTGGGGAATTCTCGATTCTCCGAGGGAGCTCCCATGGAGCTTATAGAAATGGAAGGGACCAGGTAAAGGTGGAGGTGGCCGAAGGAGGATAGACAGAAGCTCCCTGTCCTTCTCTAAGCGTTTCCGGAAGTCCTTACTGCGCAAGTGTACCCTGAGAAAAAAAAACAATTAGTTGACCGAAAGAAATACACATTGCTACGACAAAGTCCTGCGATCGGACACGTCCGAAGAAACGTCGGAGGTCAAGAAAATTGGTTTCATTCAACGATATCATGTTTCTTCTCGAGGAAATAATTGTTTCTTGCAATTGTATATGATTCAAGCAATGATATATATATTTCTTTGAGTCAATTAATTTTTTTTCTCAGGGGGTAGTCGAAACTCGGACCTGTTGGCGACTTCCCGAGATCGGATATTGGCAAAGAAAGAGCACGTGGTCCTTTTTTCGATCGGTTGCCAGTGATTGGGAGGAATTAAGGTGAAGTGAAACACGTCGAGGAACTTGATCAACGTCGATAAAGAAGATTTTTCTAAATGCCTACGTCGCCGACGTTGGTTTTTATATTGACAGCTGGGTCGAATGATATTGTGTATTGTACCAAATAGCATATTTCACCTGTCGTTTTCGTACAATAATTATAAAGAAGTCGAAGTAAAACTCCAGAAATCCTCTGGATTCATGCTTTCTGGGGTCCTAATTGACAGCAGAGGGACCCCCGGCGCCATCTGTGATTTTCAGGTGAATTAAATTTTCACTCCGAGACCTCGTATTACCATTGTTTTGGCATAAAAGCGCATACAACACTTTTTTTGCCTGTATCCCGTTCAAATGCGAGTTTATCGATTACCACAGTGTTCTAAATTGTCGTAAAATTGTCCTGACCCTTTCGATTCTCATATCGGAGCCTTCGATAATTGTATATCGATCGAAATATGAGAGCTCGGCGCCATTTTGGTTCTGGTCTAGGCTGAGTAAAAAAATTTTTTGGAAAAATCCACATTTTGAATGTGTCAGACAATTCTTAGATGATCAGGAGTGATGTGTCAAAGTTTCGGACGGTTCGGTCTAATACCCTTAAAAAAAAGTGTTGTATTCAAATTAACTGATTTGAAGGGTGTTTCACTTCACCTTAATTGGCCATCGAAAATTACTATGGCTTTTTTTAAGAGACGCCGCAATGCGTCGAGCTGGCAAGAGGTCCCTGAAGTGATTTCTCGCTGTTTCTCCCCATTTCTCCGCACTCGCGCGAGTCCATTTCACGGGTGAATTCTTGGCGGTTGCGGCGCGGAAGTAAATAAATTAGATCACTCGGAGATCGCTTACCGTGATCTTCAGATCTCGAGGATCGCACGTGTCGTAGCGGCGGCTGAATCGCAGCACTGTGTGCGTCTTGTTCTCGTATCCCAGCAGCAGGCGATAATCTTGGCTCGAGTCCATCTGCGGATCTCGTCCCGCGTCTTTCACGTGTCGGTCCTGGAACAAAACGGACGACGTTCAAGATCCGGAATCGCAGGCGAGACGCGTCGAGTCGAGAATAAAGCTCCCCTGTTACCGGCTTGCCAAAAACTCTTTTTGATCCCGTCTGACTAATTCCTCGACGCGACGTCGAGACGTTGCACGCCGTCGAAAGCAGCTTCCGGTGGGCGTCGATTATTACCACCATTAACGATATTACAAGGGAGTAATCACACCGGCAATAAAAACATATACAATTATATCGAATCGTATATACAGCCATTATTCAAAATCATTTTCCCTGAATGAAAGAAATTTTTAGAAGAAAAAATAGTCATGTGATTGAACCAATAGAAACATCTCATCAATTCCAAGAAATATTTATTTCACTCGAATAAATTAAATGCAACGTTTGTGAGAATTTATTCCGATTGTATTCGCGTGAAATAATTATTCTTCAAATAATCTTGAAAATGAATTATGAAAATAATATTTTTCCCTGCCAAGCAGTATTTTCTTTGGCTCGATGAATTTCTTCTCTCCGTGATCGATACTCGACATCGAGTGCCGATATTAATTCCGGCAAGTCTCCGGAGGGGTCGGGAACGACTCGTCTCGCTCCCGAAGGGGTCCCGAGGGATCGAACTTCCGGAAATAGCACGCGAGGCCGAGAAATGAAGAAACGGGTACGTGCTCCTGGGCAATAGGTGGAAAGACACCTGTGGGACGATACGAGGCACGGTCCCGGCGCGAGTCTCGCAGTCGATATCAGAAATAGTCGGCGATCCCCGAGTGGGAATTCTCGGTGGGAATTATTCATCCCCAGGATATCGCGGTAGGTTCCTTCTCGCGATCAGAGCCCCGGGCTCGTTCCGGCCGCCCCGTAAATACACGATGAATCACACCGCGGCCGGTACTTAATGGCGACAGAAAATGAGCACGGCGTGGCTTATTACTTCGAGGGGAGCCGGCAAGGGCCACCTACCCGGTGCTCGTACGTCGAGGCGTCCAAAGCGTCGCGACGGACAATTACCTCGCGACAACTTTATGCCGGTGCGACGGCAACATCCGAAATTGCCTTCCCGACCATCGTTAAGGGTATGTGAAAGTGGCGTCGAAGAGGTTTTGTTTATACAACTTTCCTCCCAACTCGGTTTACCGAATTGTTTGAAACGTTACAACGTGAACAAGGAGACTGTAAGGAAGGTTCTGAAACTCATGAAATTTCAATTCTTCTCAAATTTGTTTATAGGTATTATAAAAATAGTTTGTGAAAAATGAATTTTCCCGAGTTTTAGGACCTACCTTAAGGTCTCTATATTCATGTTTTAAAGTATGAAACGGTTTGAGACACCCAGTTCGTAGAAAAGTTTTATGAACGATTGAGCTTTCGGATGCCACCTTAAGATGAAATTAAACAGTCATTTTATGTACATAAAACGTGAATATATTTATATAACTCTTCTCCAAACTGGGTTCATGAAATAATTTGGAAATTAGCACGTGATTATGGAGGCCGCAAGGAAGAACGCGACGCACGTGAAATTTCATTTTTCACAGAAAAAGTATGTGATTTTTGTTTTAGTCTAGGCTAAATAGAAAAACATTTTTTTTTTGTTGGGAAAATTATCGCGCGCAAGACATGTACAATGTACAAAGTAAGTACGCAAGTAAGTACGGTCAGGTGGCACGTCGTGGTCACGAAGGAGGATGTAACGGTGATGGTCCAGGGGAGGAATATATTCTCCCGGGGAGAAGAAAGCAAATCCAATCGTCGCGCTTTTCGCATTGCCGAAAGTAAGGTCGATCGATCGGCAGCAAAGAGAACGGGAGCGGCCATTCCTTATCGGGAAGAAGTAGATCCGGAGCAACTCGGCCGGAGTTCTCGACTTCGACTCCCAGAGGACGATCCAGCTTTTTGCCAGGCATCCCCGTGGCCTGGAAATTCTCGCGAGCCCCAGGTCCGTTCTTTCCCGGGAACAAAGTGGAAACCGCGATGGGAATCGAGGGAGTCATTTCAATAGAACGGTGATAAAGAGATTAAAGTACTTGTGGATTCATGATTTTTTATACTCTAATGAAGCAACCGCACCATCTATGACGTGGCCCGTGATTATGAAAGCCGTAAGGAATAACCCAATGGTAATGAAGTTTCATGTATGAAGAAAGAGAAACATGTCCTCGGTTCTAATCTAAGATAAAGAAGAAAATCGTTCTCTAGAAAAATGAAATTTCATTAGCAGCGTGTTCTTCTTTAGGGGCTACATAATCACGTGCGGAGGTTACAAATGATTCGGGGCATCAGTTTGCGGAAAATTATTATGAACATTTTGACGATCCGATTCAGGATATCCCTTTTGTAAGGACTCGAAAAACCGGAGAGACGCGTTGTTCTCTAGAAAATTGAAATTTCATTAGCATCGCTTTCTTCTTTAGGGGCTACATAATCACGTGCGGAGGTTACAAATGATTCGGGGCATCAGTTTGCGGAAAATTATTATGAACATTTTGACGATCCGATTCAGGATATCCCTTTTGTAAGGACTTGAAGAACCAGAGAGACGCGTCACCGCGACTCGGTTAGATCTCGAGCGGAAACGCCGTAAACGGTCGAATTTTGGAACGAGTCCCAGAACGAGACTCGTCGCGGGGAACTCGACCGTACCTAGGTAAACTACTAAACACGGTGGAATACGCGGAATATGCGGAATAAACGGAGCGCGAGAACTGGGAAACTAAGTATCTAGAGCACAGAGAACGTCGCGGTTTTAAAAGTTCCGGAACGCTGGGAAGGATCTGCATCCGAGCGAAGAGTCGCGCCTAATTGCGGACGAGAGGAGATTTCGATCTGGGCAGGATTCCCTAAGGGCAGTCCAGTTTTTGCCCTCCTCGTAAAGGAGCTCCTCGTTCTTTTCCGATCGCACACGTCCGGGCGCGCTGGCCCGTGCAGCCTATCGAACGATCTTCCCCTTGGAGTCAGCCTCGTTCCCGACAAAAGGACTCTCCAGGATCGTCCCGTCCGGAAGCTGCGAGTCCCGGACGAGTTAGGACTCCGCCGTCGTTTGATCTCGGGGAATCGGGTCCGACCCGCTCCCCAAAGAAACTCGATACGAAGGCGAGCCCCATCAGCCATCTTGTCGCGATTCCGAGACTTAGACTGAGAGAAAAAAAAATAGTTCACTGAACCAAAGAAATATTCTGTTCATTATTTCACTGAAATACATTGTCGCAATCCCAAAGAAATGATTCGTGTCAATTATTGGAGTTCGAGTCTAATAATGATTTTTTTTAAATTGATTTGAATATTTCTTTGGTCCGATGGAGTCGATCAGGCACCCTATTTTTGAGTTCATTCGATTTCGCATGGCAATTTGACAGTTTCGTATACGACTTTTAAACATCGACGGGACTTTGCAACAATTCTGGGATTGCAATTTCATGGGAATAAATTCGTATGAAATGAAGAATAGTTTCTCTGGTGGGGTCGTCTCGGCGTTTTAGATTTTAGAGGACCAGCGAAACTTGATTTCCTCGTTTATGGGGTTATCGATCACAGTCCTCTCGCTAATCGGAGGAGCGAACGGGTCGAATCGGTGGAAAGATATCACCGATTACCGCGTTCATTATCTCACTGAAATAAGCTGAAATTCATTGTCGCAATCCCGAAGAAATGATTCGTGTAAATTATTGGAGTTCGAGTCTAATAATGATTTTTTTTAAATTGATAAGAATATTTCTCTGGTCCGATGGAGTCGATCAGGCACCCTATTTTCGAGTTCATTCGATTTCGCATGGCAATTTGACAGTTTCGTATACGGCTTTTAAACATCGACGGGACTTTGCAACAATTCTGGGATTGCAATTTCATGTCGTCTCGGCGTTTTAGATTCTAGAGGACCATCGAAACTGGATTTCCTCGTTTACGGGGTTATCGATCACAGTCCTCTCGCTAATCGGAGGAGCGAACGGGTCGAGTTGTTGGAAAGATATCACCGATTACCGCGTGTTCCGAGGTTTCGAGCTCTCTCGTATTTTATCGGCGCAAGTGGACGTCTTCCTCTGCGGGGCGGAGCGAAGGAATCCGAAATCGTCCGTAGGTGTGATCAGGTCGCGAGCCTCGAGAAGGAATCTTGTAACGCGTCCATGGACCCCTCGAGGGGTTTCCGTGCCGACAGGAAAGCCTCGAGGGGATTAACAAGAAAGAGTTATCCAAACTGCGATGGCCAGGCGATAAGCGCGCAATAACCGTCCCAGACCGGCCATCTTCGGTGGGGCCGGTCTCTGGGAACCTCGGCAGGACAGGGACATAAGTTTCGTCCCCGATGAAGCAATTAGGCGACGACCCAAATGAGACGACCTGGTCCAAGGACCGGCAGAGGAATGTCCCCGACGAGGACTGGCTCTTACCGGTCGGAGGACCGAAACGAGAGGCCGGAGAAAAAGGAAGAGTCGAGTCGAGGTCGCCTTTCTTTTCATTTCCAAGGGACGCCCTCCAACAGCCGCGCCGTTCTCGCTAGGAACGAATTTCCGCGTCCGTCTCGGCGGAAAACGGTTACGAGCGTTCCGCCGAGGTACGAGGTACGCTACTTTACGAGGTCATCGATTCGGTATCGTCATGTTTATTGCTTGCACATTCGGCGCACCGGCACCGAGCCGAAAAGAGGAAGGACCGTTTACGGTGAAGTGAAATCAATCGACTCGAGTGAGATACTTCTTGAAGGGGACAAAGATGTCTTATCCGCTTCTATGCTAACAAGGAAGGTACCTGAGGTGTCCCCCTCCGATTTTCTTCATTTTTAAATATGTTACAGAGGACTAAAATCTAAGGGACCCGTGTTTTTTTTTTTATCGGCGGATAAACACTTTTAGGGGGTGAGATCGGGCTTCAAAGTTGGCCGTGCAAGGGGGTGAGTTGGCTGTTTCATATAGAGGCACTCGACCGATTTTCATGAAACAACCGTCAAAATGTAGGGAATGAAGAATTATGAAACATGCATTTGGAATTTTTCGAAAAGATT